TAATATTTTTAATAACAAAATACAGTTACAAACAAATAAGAAATATGCTTTTCGTACAAAATAGAATAAGCTTAAAAAAACATACTAAAAGAAAAGTAATTCCAAATATTGCATGCATATTTACAAAAATTGTTTTACATAAGAGTTTTCCATGTTTTTTGTGTTTTTTAACAGGTTTCTTAAATAAGAAAAAATCGAATGATTCAAGTATATACCCAAATACTTCACTATACACTCGTATAAAAAAGAAACATATGGCTCATTTGTGTAAAACTACAAATTTATCGAGAGTAATATTTAAAACGAATTCGATTGCCATATAAATATTTCTTAACAATTTATTTCCTCGTCTTAGTTATATCTACTTTAACAAACGTTTGTAATTCGTAAGATCATGGCTTAAACAAGAATTTGAGGAATTTCTAAAATTTTTGTTAGCTTAGTTTTATTGCAACAAAATAAAAATAACTTTAAATAATATTTTAAGAAGTGTGTTGTTCTTTCACAGATCTTATACACTTAATACAAGCAATTGTTTACATGTATATACACAGTGAAGTAGTGAACAACGTAAAATTTTTTATAAGTTCTACATTTTTCAAGTCACTAAAACTATAACATTTTGGAACTCAAGCTAAAAATACATGTGTTTATGTAATAGAATTACGGTTAGAAATTTTATATTTTTTGGCCTCTGTCGTCAACTTAAGTCTTTCTTTTGCTTTTATGCGCTTCTGAAGATTCATCATTCATATAATCGGATCATTCATGCATATTGCTCTGTCAAATAAATCCTGCAGTCGAGATTTCCTGCTAACTTTTCTAGAATGCATAATCAGATTTCTTCGATGACATCGATGCCATGATTCTTGAGCATTTTCTGCGTAGAAGAACATAGCTAGAGAAAATTTTACAGCGATGTGGCAACTGATCCAGCAATTTGTGCACGGTTGGACTCATCCTAGCTCATGGAAATTCTTGACAGTATATTTTGTATATGTCTGCAGTATTTCTCCATATCTTTCAAGTAGCGTTTTTTTTTTTTTTACTTGAATAATTTCAAATCAGTTAAAATTCTAACGATGAGATCAAGGTAGTATAATATCACTTAATATCCGCTATGTGTAACCGCCTGTGCCACCACCCTTGTGGCCACCTACAGAAATTACTTAATGTATGTAAACAAAACCGAGCCGTATTGCAAAGGTAGGAAAAACTTTTTTTTGGCCACCATATTGGATCCACGATTTTAAAAGCTTATTTAGAAGTACCGCCATCTACGTATGCGCCAATTGATTTAATGATAAATCTTACTAATATATGAAGCAAAGTCGCTAAAATCGTTGTAATCGCTAACCGTGAAAACTACCCAACCGATCTTGCTGAAATTTTTCATATTGATTCTTTTAGTATAGTTTTTATATTGAAGAAATTCATAACAATAGCAATAAATGAGTTCAAAGTTTTGTAAAAATACGCAAGCTTTTCACTTCAGTTCAGTAGGATGCGCTAGGTGGCGAATAAATAAAGTTAGAGCTACCTGTGATAGAATTGAGTAAGTCTGGTTATAATATCCCCGAGAAAATTACTAAATACCACAGTCGTTTACCGGCAGTGCATGAAGTGTAGAGCTGGGAGTCGTGCAGCTAGGTATCCCGGCTACTAATAACACTCTTCTCCACCTGACAAGAGACTTACGTAGAAGTTCATCCCAAACTACCAAGATTGACAAGTGCCTTGAATAAAAAGGTGTTCTAAATGCTAATGTCTCCGGTGAAATGCTAGGACTTGAGCTAAACCAGCTAACCAGTTAGGTTAATAACAAAGATTGAAGTCGGAATTATTGGAATTAAAAAAAAATTGTTAACTTAGGGATTTAATTAATATATAGAGCCTTACAACTGTATTTAATAGTAATTTTAGTAACGTTTGAGCTTTAGCACGTAAATGAAGAACATATGACTTGTGCATGTTTGCTTTATGATTGTTTAAATAATAAATAGCTTCTATCACAAATGTAGTTCCCATGTCATAATGAAAAGCATCCCCTGCTTTCTAAATAAGTGAAAGGTTAAAAAAACGTTGTAATAAACTCGTTAAATTCTGAAGTTGATACCTGTAGCCCTTATTGCACTGGTACTAAAGATACTACGATTGAAAATATTCTAGGAATCCTAAGTCGACAGACTTTTTATATTTACTTGATTTTTCATTGTTCACATCCCCGTTTTTTTTTTTTTTATATATAATGTTAATTTTTTTTTTTCTATATCTTTCTTTATCACAGGCCTAAAGTGATATCTAAGGCACTATATACAACAGGATCGTCGACATGTACCAGGGTAGCCCTCTTCATTAGCTTAAATAATTTCATATATATCTCTTACAAGACGTAGAAATTGCCTCAAGTTTGACTTCTTCAATTAAAGATATTTTTACCCTTCGTAAAACTAAAGATTTTTACGAAGTCATCATCATGATAGAAGTGTAATAGAATTTGCCTATTCTCTACTGCACCAACCTCTTAACCACAGGCCACTTGGATAGTAGAAGGCAATAATCTATGTTTTTTTATGAGCTGACAATAGTGATATCTAATCACTTTAGGATTATTAATAAAAAATGCTACTTCTACTGATTAAACCTGTTTTGAATCTCATCATTTAATCCACAGATATCAAAGCTATACTTTTTTAATCCATCGTGGCCATCAAAGAACCGTAAAAAATTTAGATCCGTGATTGCATACATTCTTCTTCACTCTACATCTTTGCCGCTGAAAAACTCGTTACAGGTGTAGTTCGTTCAAACTTTTTAACACCGTTTTCTATGTAACTTGTAAATTGTACATCTTTTTTTACCTTAGCTACATAATTTTGTACCCTCTTTCCACTTTCTTCGAGCTCTGTAACAATAGATATACATATTTGTCTCAAATTTTTTATGAATATTATTCCTATTTAAATTATTCTTTCTTCGGATTCTAGATAAAGTTAGCATTGTATGAGAATGTTGCTTTTCAAAATACTTTTTTATTTGTTCAACACCAAATAAAGCAATCATGCTAACCTATACATCAAGTACTTGCAAAACATAAATAATTGAAAAAAAAATTTTATTACATAACTTCTTTACATTGTCTTTTAATCTTTATATATATATATTATCATTGTAAAAAGTTTTTTTTTAATGTCGATGACAATAATAAAAACAGAAGATAAAACTACAAATTATGTAAATCATTGACTGTTTAGAATTCAAGTTAATTTAAGTCACATTTATTCGTTTTACTATACACTTTGAAATTCTCATTACTAATCACGACATTTTATCTTTGTGTCTTTAATTTACTTACACATTCTGCTAGCAATACTATGCGAAATGTAAACAAAGACTTACTACAACGTTGCAGGCAATGTTTATCTTTTCTTAAGTTCCCTTTTCAAATCTTATATTGCCTTGTATTAACTTCACACATATATATTTAGTTCTCTTGATACACATGCATACTTCTGGTTGTGCGCTACTCTGCGAAATAGTTTCGTATCAGTCTGCCTACAGCGTGTACAGCTAAAGAAACTCACTGTACACATTCCGTAATTCCGACGCTCGACGCCTTTCATATTTAGCTGCACTCAAGCAATTTTATTATAGTCTGTAAATAAATAGTTTGTTACTTTTTTACTTAATTAAAGATTCGTATCCTTTTTTGTTACTGCTGCTTCGTGTAATTTCGGTCGCACGAAGGGCAGTTATTCACTGACCCTATCCAAAATCACTGTTCCGAGCTGAATCCATTAATTATGTTGCATTTTCCTGATTAAGTATTGGGATCTGGACTAATCGAGTATTGGTTGTAAATGAAAATTTGCACTTTCAGACTTATTTTTTTCATTTGCTAAGAAGGCAAAAATGTACCTCGATAGAACCCGTTTTAGGTGATGGATTTATTGGGTAAGAAAGCTCCGTTCGTAAAACCTGTAAGGTAATTAAATTTCAGACGACAATCGTTTTTTATTTGTATTATTAAGAAGTAGAGTAGTTTTTTTATGCTGTTGAACAGTTGCAATGTTAAAGTTTCATAATAACTTTACTTCCTTGGTCAAAACAACTTTAAAATTGTGTAGAGTGGTTGTGTATTTTGTCTTCTACCTTACTCAGAGACGATTCGAATAAGGTGCCATTTTTGTTGCGTCTATATAAACGTGTAAAAAGAGGATGAATTCTGATTTTTAAGCTTAATTTTTCGATGTAATTTAAATTTTTATACTACATGTATTCCAACAGAATTATTGAATACAGGGAAACACGTTTTTTGTCTAAAGTATTTGAAATTTGTTTGAGATGGTCAGGATAACAGAGTTTGTATTAGTTCAATCAATACAGTGCTAGTTTTTAAATTTGTTAGATCTAGTTTAAATTTCTTGACAGAAAACGTTCTAAATAAATATTAGAATAACATAATAATATTTGTCAGTATTATGCTAAAGGACTGTGATTTTTGGTGCTATTATTAATGGAAATAGGCAAAGAAAATGATTTGTTTTTAATTCTTAATTTATTTAAGAAAATGTTCTAGGTTTTAAATTAGTTTCTTTTACTGTTTCAACGTTACTACTTCTAATGTACAAATGTAGTAGGCACCAATAAAAAGTGTTACCTTGTACACGCACATATTTTGGTGGTCAATAGAGCACAATGCTCCATTGGCAAATATCAAAATAGGTGTTATGTATTGAACTTTCTTGTTTAATGTATTTCATACATAGCAACAGATGCCATTTTGTATAAATTGTCAGTTAGTCTGAGTTTCTAACAATAATTCTGTTATACTTTGAAATTTAACTGAGTGCAAAGACCAACATAACTAAAATATGTAAATATTTCTATTGATTTTTATACATTATAATAAAGATATATGTACATCTCTGATTATTTTATAATTAAAACCATAGTATGTTTTTCTACGATTATTTTTAAATATCGTTTCTTTTTTTCAGTTGACTAAAGTCATTAAAAGCTTAAACGATCAATTATCAAAAAAGGGTACAGAAATAAATGAGTACAAAGAAAAACACCATATTTGTATCAAAGGCCAAGATATCATCGGTAAACAAGAAGGATCAAATGAATCTAAGAGAAATGCTATTGTTGTAAATCCAATCTAACATTTAATAAAAATACTATTTATAAAGTAATTTGAATAATATATTTGTTTTGATTAACTGCAAAATATGGCTCTAATAGTTAACGTACTCTAGTCCTTAAAAGATGATTATTACGATATGTATGCACGTTTGAAAAATACCTTCAAAAAATCTTCCAGGAGTTATAATTATTTACTAGTACTGAAATTTAGTAACAATACAGCTGAAATACAGTATACAAAAGTGTCGTAAAGTAACTTTATAAAAACAACTCTAGTTATAGTATTATAATAATTGGTTTTAAATCTCTAATCATCTACAGACATTTGTCAAGAGCTTTGGAAAATTAAATTCTTATACCAGTACACTGTAGAACATTCTACATTCAATTTCTCTCTCTCTCTCTCTGTCTCTTTTTCCGTTTCTCTGTCTATTAACATTGTATATCAAGTTAAGGAGAGAATCGTGAATAAGTCGCTGAAGCACTTTCACGCTGGAAAACTGCTCACAAGACTTATACCAATTAAGTTGTTATGTACAAGTTTATGTCCGATTTACATTGTTAAAATTGTTATGATTTTTTTTTTTATTGTAGTTTTCTATCCGTATCCTGTCTAAGTCATTTTTTCTGGTACCCTATATTACTTCTGTGTATTTATTACCACATCCATATCCAAAACCCCAGTCCGGTTTTTTCCGACTAGTCCTGCACCTTATATTCCAGCCTAATGCTTTACCTCTCCTATAATATCCTAACAACCTATAAATTTATTATTCACACAATATCTTCAATTAGTGATCAAATTTCAAATCAGTGAATTTTATCAAACATCAGCTTATGCAAATTACCAGGGTCACTGATTGATCTGCTGTCATATTTAGTACATCAAAAATGTCGGATCAAAAATAGCGGACAGAATTTTGAAAAAATTGAATTTTGGCCTATAGAAAAATCATCCGAATTCAAAAGATTTTGAGGTCGATGATAACGCTACTAAATTTTATTAATCAAAAATTATGGATCCCAAATAGAGGAAAAAATTGAAAGAAATATAAGAAGTCGTTTTATAATATTCGTTCCGTAATGTCATATATTTTAAGAGTTTAAAATTGCTGGTCTAACATAGCCAACAAATATATCAAAAAAACTATGATTGTAGTACGATTTCACATATGAGCATTTTAAAGATCTTTAATCATCAAATAATCTTAGATTTTGATAAACTGTAATTAGAGGTCAATTACATTAAAAGTATGTATCAAGAGCTGCAATCTTTGCGGGAACTCAACATAGAGTCATTGTATATAATATGTCATATTTCAAGAATTGGATGGCTTTGAATTATGGAGACTCTAAATTTTTTTTTCTTTCAATCAAAGAACAGAAATATCAAACTCAAAAACACAAACTGTTTGTCCAATCTCGAAAGTCTAAAAAAATTAAAATACAAGCTAGCTTATGCGCATTCAGAACTCTGAACGACGAAATCCTACAAGACAAAATCACGTATTTCGATCAAGCCAAATCAGAAAAACTACTGAGTGCACCCAAATTGACGCTAAATGAAGCCTCCAGTATTTGCTATACAAGCAAATAAGCAACAAAACAGTCAGGTAAGATTGAAAATTATGCAGACAAACAAGTGCTCGTAATGATGAAAAAAAAAAAAAAAAAAAAAAAGGAGATGAATAAAGAGTTCAACTCCAATAGATGCAGCATAAAGTATGGGACTCGTGAGTGTCTCGCTTATAAGAATGATTGTAATAGGTATCGTAGGCTTAGGCACTTTGCACAAATGTGCAAAAAAAAAACATACAACAAAATTAGAAAGTAAGTGTTGTTAGACGGGAAAAAGGATAAATTCAAAGTACTTCTTATAGAAGAAATAAAGAAAGGCACATGTTCACCACGTTAAATTAGGCAAAAACTAAGACTAGTCCAAGAATACAGAAGCTAGAAATTTAAAATTGAGAGCAAAGCAAAATAAGAGGCCCTCAATACAACTTACTCTAAAGTAGCATAGCAGAAAAGAGTGGCATCCTGCTACAAACTTCGAATACCAAATGCCTCATAAGCTATTCCAAGAATAAAATAAAAGTAGTAAAAATAAAACTGCTTTAAAAAGCAATAAAAATAAATGCACAACTGGTCTTCCAAGCGGTTAACAAAACTGTTGCACCACTTCTAGACCGCAAAACATTAAAAGCTTGACCTAACAGCAAGTGGACAAAGTATTGGGAGTGTGCAAAATAATGCAACTTTTTGTGATTTTTCAACTTTATTCATACAAAAATAACTGACCACGCTTAAAAATCAAAGTATTCTCCGTTATTGTCTAATACTTTCTGCCAATGAATTGGTATTTCATGGATCCCCTTACAAAACAATTTTTTTGGCTTTTTGACACGAAAAAATTATCAGCCCACTTTTGCACTTCTTTAAATGTTTAAAAGTGTTCACCCTGAAACGCGTTGTTCATAGATCTAAAAAGACGTTAATCAGTTGGCGCGAGGTCTAGAGAGAATGCCGGATACTGCAAAACTCCCCAGCCAAGAGAGATTGAAGTTTGACATACAGGTTTTGCAATGTGTGGTCCAATATATTATTTAACTAACGATATAGCTTGTCCGGGATTAACGTATGATTTTTCCGTTTCGGATTATTAAATTAAATCCGCTTTTGATTTCACATTATCAATTTCTATAAAAATAACTTCTTTTTATGTTTAACAAGGAGAAAATAGCAATTATCAATTCTTTCATTTTTGTTTTTTTTGACTTAACTGGTGTGGAGCCCACTTTCCTGATTTTGTAATTTTTTCCATCGCTTTTAAACTGACTTTCTGGCAATCGCTGTTTGGTCAACTTTAAGCACTTCTGCTACTTCTTGTCAATTCAGAAGTCCCTAAACACTTTTCTAGCCGACTTTCACGTTCATGGTTACCCTATCTCAAATCGTCACTTTTGAACAGTTTGTACTATCTGGTTACTGTTGGATATGTTACCAAATTATAACCGTAAACTTTCTTTAATGATTCATAGATGCCTTTCGCTTTATCCCTTATTGATATTCATAAAGAATACAGAGGTTAAAATTTTCCTTACTGTTAAATTGAACGAGGAATATTTTCCTTAATATAAAAGAATAAATAATTGTTAATTTTTACGTATATATACATATCGTCCGAGAGGGTAGGACTCCAGGGGCGAGTCGCCCTCTTAATTTTTTATGTTTTGCAATTGAAGTTAGATGCAATTGTATGAGTTGATTTTAATTCATACAATAAAAAACTCGATGTTATAAAAAGTAGAAATTTTGAATATGCAAACTCAATTCATTAAAATATGTTCACAAAATGTTTGATACATAGAACGAATAGTAAAACACGAGTTACAATTTGGAAATATAATGTGTCACGTTTACTTAACGAATAAGATGTACTTGCGTACATATCGATGAACTGTGAAGAAAAGTATGCCAAGGAATGGTGTATCGCGAGCAATCCTGCTCGACTTTCAGGACAACGTATGTCCTACGGCTAGGCTGGCCAAGCTGACCGCATCCTCCTATCTACGAGTTACGAATTATGCTCGTTGTTACGAGCAGAAGAAAAAGAAAAAGTTTTATTCCTAGTACATTCGACCAGCAAGGTAGGAGAGACCAAACAGAAGGGTGTGGAGCTTCGTTGCCACCGTCAACGGTGGGGCAACCGAGACTGCGTTTGCGGAATATGAGGTAAATCAAAGTTGTTCACCAAACGTGGCTTAAATTTGGATTGTGAGAAAATATTTGTATATGTAAATGTGTCAACAAATAATTGAAACTAATGATTAATTAACCAATCAACAAATAATCTATTTTCAAGAAAAATCTTTTGGCATATTTTAGCTAATCGTGATGTTAATGAATCTTCATTTAGTAGTGGACAGAGCAAAGTGATGTTTCGATTGTAGATTCTGCTTGCAGTTTTCGCGGTAGCCACACGTACTACGCCGTCGTCTCCCCTGTGTACCTTTATGACCACGCCCAGTCTCCAGTTAGTGCAAGGTATATTTTTGTCTATGAGCAAAACAAGGGAATTAATCTCTATTTTTCCCGTCTCTACTTGTTATTTTCGTCTATTTTGAAGCTCGTGTAAATATTCGAGATACCATCTTTTCCAAAAATCCTTTCCCACTTTTGAGATAAAATTTCAAAAGTATAACCGATTTTCTGAAACGTTAGAAAAGTATGTGTTGGTAACAAAATAATAGGCCTGCATATCAATAGGTTAGCAGGCATGGAAGCTGACGGATCATTGGGATACGATGATAATGAGCAAATAGGTCGTGAATGCAGTATGCCTTGAATCTTGATAGCTAGCGTACTATACATCCGTAAGTTAGAAGTTGTTTGCTGATTACGCTGTTCAAGTGATGCTTGAAAAATTTGACGATGTCTTTCTGAATGCCACCAAAATGCGGCGACAGCGGAGGGGTGGAATGCCAGACTGTGTTTTTCTGCACGGAGTATTTGCTCGAATCATTCTCAAAGCTTAGAGATTCTAAAAATTTGTATAGATCAACTAACTTTGTTGGTGCCATTATCAGAAAAAACGTGTTCAGGGATTCCTTAACGTGCTACGAAGTGACGCAAACCGCCGAGAAACTCCTGTGTTATCAAAATGTTTATAATCTCGATACGCACGGCGTTCGAGCTCATACATAGAAAAACACAACCGTAGGTTTCAACTCGGTTTCAATTGCGAAGCTTTTTATGTTCAAGGTAAATTACATTTAAAAAATCAATGCCGACCCTACTGAACGCCGGTAAAGCGTTAACCCTTGACTCTGGTAAATCGCCCGTCTCAGCATAGATTAACTTAGGATTCTAGTAAAGACAGACTACGCAACACCTGACGATTCTACGCACTTAATTTTGTCTGTCCAATACCGTGTACTTATGTCGCAAAAAAACTTGAAATAGATTGAATGCCACTATGACCATGTATCGTATGCAATCGACGTAATAGTAAGTCTGTGATCGGGAGTTTTAATGGTAGAAGAACAAGATGCTTTTGGTCACCAGGAATATCAGAGGTTCACAAGTGTCTGGCCACGCGAAGTAGTCCCTCTTGATCAATAAAAGGGTTAAGCGATTTCCAACTACACTCTTTTCCCTGC